GACTACAATTGCATTCATTTGCACATAAGTACACATACACTCATCCAACAAGGGTTACGAACATGAAAGTATTTGTATGCACTGGCTGATAGACACAAAAATAATCTACATATAGGGACACAAAAAATGGACCTGTTGTTTAAGCCGAAATTAATTATGTATCTATGACGCCAATGGTCGGCGTTCGGGTACTCTGAAATGCCAGCTTTTCAGAACTGGTTTTCAAAAAAATAAAATCCTACATATTTGTGAGCTTGACGTTTTTATAATCCATTTCAAGTTCCTTTTTTTTTTAATCATTTCACCCCAAGCAAGACGATAATGTCACTAGGACACTAGGGTTACTGTGAGTGAAAGAGAATGAGTAGACTTTCGTGAAAAGTAAAGAAAAAAGAAAATAAATGAACACGTATTAGAAAGATGGTGACTGTCGTTGCATTATAAATTGTTCGAGGATTGTCGGTGCCAAGTAAGCAAGAAATCGGAAGTGTGTTTCCAGACGTGAGGTGCAAGAACGGAAATTATTAGAATAGAACTTACATTTAGCTAGTTCAAGAAACCGGATTGCCAACCAAGTCTTCTTTTTCTTCTATGTGTTGCGCCCCGTCAGGACGCAGGTGATCACGGCTCTCCAGTATTTCCTTAATAAATTTTGTCTTTTTGTTAGATCTCCTAAACCTTGTTCCACCATTCGTTTAATCAAGTTCCTTAAACAGATTATGTTTTTCTCTGTCCTGTGAGTATCACATTTTCCAGGCCCTCTTTCCCCATTACGTATCATAGAAATTCCAACTGTCTGTGTTAATTATATGTTAATTAAATGTTAATTATATGTTTCTTTTTTGTTTCCATGTTTTCTAAAACTTCATCGTTGCTCACATGTTAACTTCATGGTATCCTCAGCATCATCCTGTAGAATAACATTTCGGCTGCCCCAAGAGGCTTACATTCATTCAGTCGAGACACTAATGAGGAAAAAGCTCATCAGAGCAACTGCCATGAGAAGAATTGCATATAGAAAAGGCAGAGGTCAGCCTCGTCAATAAGAAAAGGACTCAAGTCAAGATGACAGATTATGATCGGTTACATTGCAGACCCTTTGAATTTTGCCAAGAATCTCGTCTAGGGGCAAGAAAATAGATATGTCTATTTTTTCATTCTACTTTCCGCTTGTGAAGCTAAGCTAAGCTCAGTTTTGATTCTTTAAAGATTAATAACCTCATTATCAACAATTTCGAAAAAGATCATCGTTATATCTGTGCCTGTTTTTTTAATCATTGCAACAGAGCCCCTAACAAGCAAGCACTTGAGGGTGAACCGAGTCTGAAAGAATATGAGAAAAAAAAAATTATTAAAGAGCAATAATAATAAAAGATAAGAGTTTAACAGAACAGAAGATAACGATTGACCTTCGAACAATTTTGCACTAGGATTTATTATTGGAGAACAAAATCATTAAAACATAGATGACGCTGTGTTTACGGCATCAACTCCAACATAAAACACCAAAGAAAAGGAGGAAGAAAAAAATGAAGCAACAATTGTAATATGACAGAAATTATGGTCGTAGGGAAAAAGGAGAGCTGCAGATTGGAGTTTTCAAAATAAGACAAGTACAGAAATTTAAGTAGCTGCGATGTTTTATAGTAGACGATGGAAAATATTACACAAAAAATGCGAAGACGCACCGGAATAGAGAAAGATGCCTTCTGTGATCTAAACAAAGTATTAAGAAACAGGACAAACAACGAAAATGCAATATAGTATCACTCCTTCCATCTAACAGTGAATGACGAATATCTTCCTAACGTTATTTACATTATTCGGACTATTGTCCTCATCTTTGTCGCCATATTTATCACAACGTTTCGGCCATTGTACGCTCCGGCCTTCTTCAGGTGGTTGGAATGTCGAACTGAACCCTTTATTTCGCTCACTGGGGTAGACTGTTCTAGTTCCACGTGCCATGTTTAATGGATGTCAGCTATCATTTATCTCCTGTTAATTTTCCTCCTTCAAGTTCTCCACTGCCTTAACCGGGTATTGAACTCACACTCTTTGGGTCTTGTCACTGGATCTAACCAACGTCTTTATCCACTGTGCAATGTGTCCTTGATAAATGTGGCGACAAAGATGAGAACAATAGTCCGAATAATGTAAATAATCTACATAATATCTCATCTCAGAAATATAGACAGAATCTTCCTAACGGATGAACAGGAGATCTGAGGCACTAGAGATGTGTTTGTGTAGAAAGATTCTGAGCATTCCATGGCCCGAAAATGTGAGCAAAGATGACGTTTGAGGGAAAATGATAACATGAAAGGATTATGTGAATATTGTTCGAAAATAATTGTTCGAAAACAATTATTCGACAAAAGTTTATTCGAATTGCAAATTGTTTAAATGAAAATTAAAAGAAAGGACAATTTTACTAAATGATAATTGGAAATTCAAAATCATTTATTGCAATAAAAATGTAAAAAATTAAAAGAGGAAATACACAAATAATAATTATTCGAAATGCAAATATCGTTAATATAACAATTTAGTAAAAAAAATCCTTATAACCTAAAGTTATATGTACTGCACGCAAATAGTCAACTAATGAAGAGTACTTGTTAAAGGATGACACTAATTTTTTAAGTTTTCCATTTACGTCGCGGTCTTTCTTGGCGCTTTTGATAGTTTGCCAACCTGCTCTTACTTTTGAAATATGAATTTCTTGCAAGTCGTGTTCTGTTTTGAGAGCTGTCGAAGAATTTCCATATTGTGCGATGATACGATGACATCCGGATATCAAACATAGATATTACATAGATATTACGTAGATATTACACATGATTATCATTTAGAATAATTGTCCATTCGTTTAATTTTCTTTCAAACAATTTACAATTCGAATAGATGTTTTTTGAAGAATTATTTTCGAAGAATATTCCCGATACGGTAACACTTTCATTTGCAGTCAAAAAGATTTGATACATGGTACTGAAGAGGGCTTGCAAAATTTCATATTCACAGAAACTTCTGAACATAAGAGGGATATAATGAACGACGAGTAATCTACCTAACGAATGTTTATAAATGGATGGCAGAACAGGGGTTAGGAAGCATAATAATAGGAAAAATAGAGCTTAAGACTAGAAAGAAAAAGAAGTTGTGGAGAGTCATGTTCTCTAGTGTCCTGAAGATATAACTTCCGCTTGTGTGTGTGTGTGTATGTGCGTGTGTGTGTGCGCGCGCGCATGTGTGTGTGGGGGTGTGTGAAAAGCGAATGGACATTGACTGTGAGGCGGATAAAAGAGCCTTATATATTTGGGTAGACAAAGAAAGATAAGCAGATTTCGTGGTCAGTGACACACACACACACACACACAAACACACATACACACACACACACACACATATATATATATATATATATATATATATATATATTGCCAGGCAGCGTATATTTTTCTAAGATATCTCAATATACAGCACGGTAGATGTAAATAAATATAGTGTTTAATAAATAAATAAATAAATAAAAGCATTTGCTCAAATATGAATTTAAACAAATAAATTATATATATATATATATATATATATATATATATATATATATATATATATATATATATACATACATAGGGTGTCCATAAAGTTCATGTGCACGTTATAGTTATAAATTGTTTAAAGTGAACACGAACTTTATGGACACCAATATATATATATATATATATATATATATATAATATTTTTATTATAAAATATTTACATCGCTACACAAAAATTGCTGTTTCAGAACTTAAAAATTGTCCCTCATCAGGCGATGTTGGATAGCTTATGGTGAAAATGATTTACCTGGAAAACCAGTAAATGATTCGGGAGCTCATTTGAGAGTTAAAGGAGGGGAGAAAACTAAGATTGCAAAATTAAAAAAAAAAAAAAAAACACACATTTGTGGGTATGCCTTGATTAACCAATCAAAAGGCGGATGAAAGCTAAAAGAGAAAAATGAAGCTAGAAGTTAGGGGTAGGTGGGTTATTAATTCATGTCTTGATAGTTTTGACACTTTTCGGCACGTCAGCACAGGCGACATCCGGTTACGAATTTATAAATTTAAGTTACTGTGAAGTAGACAGAGATATATTTTAACAAAACTTTAATTTTAAGAAATTTCCAGTTTATATATATATATATATATATATATATATATATATATATATATATATATATATATATATATATATATATATATATATATATATATATATATATATATATATATATATATATATATATATATATATATATATATATATATATATATATATATATATATATAATATATATATATATATATATATATATCTCAGAACTATATTAAAAGTGCCTCTAGTGTGATCAAAACATTTTATATATATTTTGAACCTAAAATACGATATTAATTATATTGAATAAGTAATAAAACATGGCAATATTAAAGTTGAAAAATCAAAGAATTAAATAAATATAAATATAAATAATATTATATATTAATAAAATGGTCAGAAGAAAATAATGGATATGTAATTGTAATGTGTAGTTTTTTTATGAAAATTTCTATTAATTATATTTTAAAATAAACATTATACAATGCCTACAGATTACTGTTAATTCATTTCTCTGATTTAGGATATTATCATTTTTAGGAAATTTTATAATATGCAGCTTCTCATGTAGAAACAGTGGACATGGGTTATTTAAGGACTTAGAAATTCTCTTTTATTTAATATTTTCCATTTTACAGTAGGAGATTTGTTGATTTCTTTTAAATGCCAAAAATATTTAGAGGTGGATGTTAGAATTTTTTTAAGATAAAAATGGTTTTGTGATGCAGGTCTTACTAATTAACTGATAGCTGGTTCTAATTTGCACATAAGTGAATATAACAAACTCAAAAGGAATTGGAACTCGTCTCCCTAATTAACAATTCCAAGCTATTCACCATTACATCACCCGTATATCTAAGATTACAGAACCTGTTATTTCCAAGCGGTCACTCATCTAGGTACTGGTCAGGTTCGCCATTGCTTAACTTCGGGGATCGTACGGGAACCATCGTTTAGTGTGAAGTGGCCGTAAACTAAAGTAAGGAAAAAGGAGGAAATAAAATGTTCTGTCCATAAATGCATTATTTTTAATAGTATGATATTCCTTGTAGAATTCCCTGAATTCTCTGCATCAAGGTGTCACCATTTTTCGGCACGGTCCTCTTCGATAAATATTGCAGGCTGATATAGACACGTCATTGGATTATTCTTTTTAAGAAAGCAAATCCACCAAGGAAATTAATCCTCGTCAATAACAACCTCAGGAATTTGCTATTTCTTTATTTGGCCTCATTTCATGAATGAATAATGCCCGTATCGTTAGGAAAAAAAAGAGTTTTAAATCGTCAATTGACGATATCTGCTAGATTCCCAATGCAACAGAAATTGATAACCCCCGCCGTTTAACCTTCGTAAGCCACCTCGAATTTGCGATAATTGATAATCCCATACGATATTAACACACCTCAATACAAAAATGTTTATAGTGTTACAATTATGTAAAACATTGCCGTACTTCTGAAAAGAACAACATAATGGATAATCCCCGTTAAAATATGCAGTAAATCAAAACCTGAACTGAAGAAATAATTATTCATTGAAATGAAAATTGTAATAAATTTGTTCCAAAAACATATGTTGTAAATTGTCGGTGAAACACACCAATACAATAATCGAGAAAGGATGTACTCATCAAAAATAGCTCCAAATTATTTACATGAATAGAAAGATATAACATTAGCAAAACTACGATAACGACTGCTTAAACTATTTTTGCCCTTCCTTGCCCTTAAAGAAGTGCCCTTTGCCGTGCAGATGTTGCTACATGCCTTACTTCTTGCTATCTCACACTGTGAATTTTTTCTAAGCTCTATACTAAACATTAAATCTGTTACGAAAAAAGAACTAAACAAAATGAACACAAAATGATCAGCTTTAAAACAAAGGACTCTTAACTGGAAAAACCAAATGAAAAAAGAATGTTAACAACAAATACTTTTTCCCACACAACCCAGTTCTACGGAATCAGAATCAACGTTGAGTTTAAGCAAGCGAATGAGCCAATTGGAGTAAAGTGCCATGCAGATTTAAATTTTTCCCACTTCTGACGAATGCAGCTATCGAATTCTTTTGCATGCTAGCATGCTAGTTAACATTCGTGTCAGTCAGCTGTTGGCTCTCAGGCTGACCAATAGAATCTTCCTTTCTATTCGTGGCAGCCAGCTATAGGGTCTCACTCTGGCCAGTAGAAAATGGCCGCAAACTACATGAAAACTGCCGTAGAAGCATGAAAAAATCGATTATTTCCACTATCGATGGGAGTGGGGAAATGCAAAGTCTGTCTTGGCCTTGCCGCTAACTTGGAGCATGTGCATGTAAATTTTGGTGCAAATCCGTCGAGAATTGCGGCCGTGTATTCGTTGTACACACAGACATCCTGCCTTTATATATATATATATATATATATATATATATATATATATATATATATATATATATATATATATATATATATATATATATATATATATATATATATATATATATATATATATATATATATAAATTCATCTAGTCAAAAGAAACCTCAACAGAATGCCGAAAGCACTGGACGGTCGTTTCGTCCTATATTTGGGACTCATCAGCAGTGCGCATCCACTATCGAGAATTGAAACCCGGACAGTTACGTTATCAGACAAACGTCATACCAACTTTTCCACCGGGCCTCGGTGGCGAAGTGGTAGCGAATTACACTCGATATAGCGCCCCTCGATCACATATTCCGTGCTGGAACTTATCCGAATTTCTCTTTTACCCATAGGACTGTGCCCCCATATATTTGAATATGTGATCGAATTTAATTCGCTACCTCTTCGTCCCTTTTTATCATATGCCGCATTAGACAGCCATTTCGTTCTAGAGAACCCGGTCTGTCCTGCTATTTACTCGTAGCTAGGGAGAGAAGAGAAGGATTCATACGTAAGTGAATGTAATGGATTCGACTGGAATTCGAACTCGGCTCACCGATACCTCAATCCGAGCCGCTATCCATTACTCTCCCAACATGTGACAACATTAATTACCGATAATATGTAATGTTTATGATTATTCTGGGATATGTTATACTCTTGTTGAAGTTCTTTTTTTCACAGACATATTTAGTTCATCTTTATTGTCTTCAGATATGGGCACCTCAACGTGGAGTAATGGTTAGAAAGCTTGTCTTGCTAGATCAATTACGACTGATTAGTGAGTTCAATGGGTGCTCCATACTTTCGGCCTTGTGCCACATCTAAGTCGGGCTTAGAAAATCGCTATATGGTTTTCATATATGAAAGGGTGAGTAATTTTGGTAAGACCTGTTTAAATTTATTGGTCACCCATGTGAAGAATTGAAAATATGCCATTTGCAATAGAATTTCCGTTAGATAGTTCATTTGCATTTAATCTTAAAGGTTCAAAGGATACCAAGCAGACTGGTTGACCTTCAGGCATATTCACCTCATCAAGTCTGGCCCTCTTTAGACAAATGTTTTGGCACCTCTGAAAGAAAAAAGCTAATTATTATAAAAAAGTTTTAATTTTGATTGCTATTGGGAAAATAATGATTATGATGAGAGTGATACTAAGAAAAAAAATTTGATGAGAAATGAGGATATTAAGCATAATGAAGGTATCAATCAGTCTTGACAGTCTTGACAGACTATAGAGTCTACTTGGATGTCTAGGTAATCCCTGCAGCAGTTGCATGTTCAGGCACATTTAAGTTTCTTCGCCATGCAGCAGCGTCAATCCGAGCAGAACTTGCGTAAGAGTTTATTGACGCATAATCTGGTGCGATCAGTTATTGAACAATATCAATACTTTGAAATCCTCAGTCACGATGACTTACAACTTCGTTCTAGCTTATGTCAGCAGCGAAGGTTTCTGCACAATTTTGTCTATCCATTGTCAATCATAAGTCTAGGATCAGTCCGTGATATGGTTTTCAGACACTTTTCATGCTGTGATCTTCACTTCAGACCGATATTAGCGAGGTCAGCTCCATGATAAATTGGCCATGGGGCACTTTGAAACCGGCTCTCATAGTCGAATCACTAACGTCCCAACCACGCATCCAGTATCTTAGGTTTAGTCATTAAATATTATTACTCTTCATAAGACTACGTTTAGCTTTAATTCTTATTCTCACCTGAAAATGCATTGTTATTGTTGATCACGGGAATGAAAGTGAAAGACATGATTATATCAAATGATGATAGTGGGGCTTACAATAAACTAAGATATTTAAAAGTAATTTCATTGTCATGGACACAATAACGGAGTAGTGCACGATAATAGATCGTGCCAGCTAGGAAGTCATCTTTATCGTGTTATTGATGACGGCGGTATGGTTAGTATTCTTGTCCGGTGAGACCACTGATGTCGCTGACTTTAATTGTAATGGCATTAAACGCCGATGTTTATAATGGTCGATGATGAAAATCACTCTTTTGTTCATTGCCATGTTTGCCCGATGGCTACGCTAATGACATTAATGACACTTATGAAAATTGGACTAGCTGAAATAACCTTTTGCAGTGGCGAAGAGCAAACATACTGCGATAATCAAGACCACAAATCGGAAACTTCCCCTGTGAAAAGGCCTCCCATGACTGCTGGCAATGATGGTACCAAACGAACAGAAGCCAGCACCGTGCTATTAACTATAATTTATTGGTTTTATTGTAATCTTCTCAGTTGGAGTTTTAAGCGCAATGATCAATGTTGAACCCTAATAAAGAACGAAATGAGACATTGCTTTTGTGCGGCTCTGCTTGGAAGTATGCAGGAAACAATTAGCTTTACTTACGCTGACAATCGTAATTCAAATTGACCAGTAGCCGATGAAGCGAAACTCATTGCCAATGAGCGACGACGACGACGAAGGAGGACTAAAAAGTCTGATAAACATTGGAGATTTCGTTGGCGTCCGATTTGACACAATGGGACGCAGGCCGATGTCTTGCCTCGCACAGACAAATATCGGTGAGATGTGCGTTCTTTGTCTGCCGAAGCGTAGCACCTGCAAGTGACTTTCGCTTCCTCGCTAAGTGTCGTAAATTTTAAAATACCTAGCATTATGTATTCAAATGTCGGATATTTAACAAGCCAACTTAGCTTTATGAGTTGATTTAGATATTTCTAATATGTTTGGAGAAAACTTCAGCAACTTCGTCATTCTTTTATTAAAAAAAAAAAAAAAATTAGGCCAAATATATATCAGTAGGGAAATGTATTTTCGTTTTTTACGGAAAGAGCTAAAGTTTTTATATTTGAGTCCGTAAACATTTAATTGGTTTATGGGTAGGTAAATACTGATCATTTATATATATATATATATATATATATATATATATATATATATATATATATATATATATATTTAATTTGTTCATGGGTAGGTAAATACTGATCATTTATATATATATATATATATATATATATATATATATATATATATATATATATATATATATATATATTACCTGATGATCCGGAGTCCTTTAAAAAGGATTTTGGTGAAATAAATTATTGTAATGGTACCTTAAAGTGGTCTGTTCTTCATTAAATTTATATATATATATATATATATATATATATATATATATAAATGATCAGTATTTACCTACCCATGAACCAATTAAATGTTTACGGACTCAAATATAAAAACTTTGAAGATTGGAAAGAGTTTATCAAATACTGTATTATGAATATCGATTTTTTATTGTTGTTGGGTTTTTGAAGGCTGGTGGTGGTGGGGGTGGGATTACATGCATATATATATATATATATATATATATATATATATATATATATATATATATGTGTGTGTGTGTGTGTGTGTGTGTGTCTGTGTGTATACACCCCGGTGTAACAGCAAAATTGTCCAAATCGTATAATAGCATGAGATAATTGTCCATCCTACAAAAAAAAACAAAAAAAAAACACACACACTGAACTTATTGAGTTTC